CACAAAAAAGAACTAACATATATATATATATATATATATATTCAAAATGGACTACAAATAAATATTTAGAATGGGAAACATGTTAACTATGGATAATGCAAAAAGCATCTTTTTTATGCAAATTTTTTTAATTTTTAAAGCTTAATCATAACAAGTCAAAACAGTTTACATCTAGATCCCACAGCACAACAGATGGTGCCTGTTCTTGAAACATTTTCCTTGCCTTTTATGTTTGTATGGAGTTCATATTTAAGTTGCAGACCAGCTCGACGTAATATGCGCTCACTTAGTGGGTTTTTGTCATTCAATGTCTCATTTGTCGAGTTTACAATTGCTTGAGCACGAAGACAAGATAAATCTCCTGCCCTGAAATAAATTGAATAAGATCACATAAGTGTTGTTTAGACACTTAAAAGCAATAAAAAAACAATGTTTGAACACTTAGAGCATGAAATGTTTGGTACATAATAGTATAATTGTTACAAAACACAAAATATGAATGTACTGAACTCATATTAGATCAAAAAGGACAATTGGGGTTTTCACACCTTGAAAGATTATCAGCAATGTTCAAAACAGAGCATACACTATTTAAGTACATTATTTATATACAATCAAAAAGGATCTGACTTTATAATAATCAACTTATTCTTCATTACACATGACTACTCCTTACCATAAAACAACTTTCTTGTTGATGTATTCACTATAAGGAAATGGACTGATCTGATGAATCTTCTCTTGATTTCCAAAATTGCTAGCATCAGGTAGATCTCTTGGTGTGATTTTGCTCCAACGTTTCAAAGAGTTTATTTCAACTATGTCAACTGGCACTCCTAATGGATCCATCACCTACCACAAGTATTGAATAACTGTTACAGAACAACAAGCTGTAGTAGAATGACAAACTTTACTGTAATAAATGGCATTTAAGAATTCTACGCAATGACACTTGGTGAATGTCATTTTAAGTAAAGTAACAAGTTATATTCACTTTAGAAGAAATAAATATATAACTAAATGTCTTACTGTATGTCATATAGTGTTCTAATGAAAATATATCTAAATTGCAATTGTTTTTAAGGAAGAAACAAATGAGGAAAAAGAACAATATGAGCTCCATGAGAATATAAATTGACAGACATTTCACACATTCACTTGTACTAAAATAATGGCTTGTGTGTGTGTGTCACCTGAGACTGTTCCCACATACCTGTAGTCAAAACCCAAAGTTATTGAACATATTGAAACCTAAGTTACTTACAGGATTGAGAAGCGGAACACATGCACACCGAAAAATCCATTAGGAAGAAACATTTCATTCATTTTTCTGGTTAAACTGTTTGATGTTCTTTAACTAGGTATGAAATTCTCAGATGTTCTGAAGGAACCATTTTCAGTTAGAATACAACAGCAAAGAAAAGGGAAATGTAAAATATGCTTCAGGATAGACATAACCTAACATATGAATAATTCTATGTTCAATGAATTGTCAACAACAAATACAAAGGAAAGAATGTTCAGACCACATGCTGTGTGTGTGTGTGTATATATAATGGAACCCATACAACTGCAGTTTACAAAACACTTAAAGTCTTGGTTGACAAAAGAACAGGTCTGCACAAACTATGCATAAAACAAGTTATTTGCCACAGTCCTCATAATATCTTTGTAATTACAACTACTAGTATATTAAATTAGAAATCAAAAACTGACATATTAATCAAAATAATGTGATAATGAAGGCATATTCCATTTATGTTTGATCTGAAACTGAAAAATATTATACCATATTTAAATTCCTAATTTATATATCACATCATAATATGTTCTTTGTTAACTTCCTATCCAGTATCATGTATATACTTTCTAGTCATTTATATTTAAAACAAAAAAAGTGACAGAAACTGTACAGATTGAACACATTAATCTTGATGATATTACACTATACATATTATGTCGCATGCATCATGCATCTTATATCATAAATGACAGATGTAAAAGTGGGGAAGATTATGAACTACAGCTCTTAATAACCAATATTGACACCAAATTTTCACGGCAGTAGCTATATGTAAAAAAAAATAAATAATGTACATTTTTGTTATTTTTGATTCATTCAGATAGATTTAGTAATGTAACAGTTATGATATCCATATATAGCTATTTTAATGACCTAGGTATTTATTGTTTACTGTACTGTAATTGTCCATATAGTGTTGCTGCTACTTCACTTGAAAGCTTCATTTCTATTTGATCATGAACCAGCAGTGAAGGAATGGGGTAGGTTCATAATGGTTTTCCTGTCAATAATTTATTACAGTGGGCAAGAATGTAAATGTACAATTCTGTGTTTTTGGACTGAAAACTAATCACAATATTGTGTGAGGTATATCTATATTTTGTTTTCATTGTATGCTTATTGTAGAAACTGTTGGTTTTCATGTGATATATTGTTTCTGATAATACAACATAGTTTGAAATGAAATATTTCACAGATGTATTCCAAAAAATTTACTAATATAAGTTATATATATAAAAATGACACACTGTAATACAGTTATTTAAAACAATATTAATTACCATGCTATATTTTAAAACCTCAAATGGTGTACGAGATACAAATTGTTTGTCTGGAATTACCATAATGCATACCCACTGAACTGTTCTGCTCTTTACATTCACTTTACTTTAAGGTTTAACACAAAAAGCATCATAACAAATAGCATAAGAACCTTTTCATAACTCTTTTTCCCATTTTATTAACCTTCCATTCAAAATATTATCCTAATTTTACACAAGTAAGAACTTATGCATATCAGTTTCATTTAATACCACCAAATGTGAAGATTCCAATTCAAAATTACAAAAGAAAATTTAAAGAATGAGGTGGACTTTGTACAAATTAATATAAAATGGTAATAACACATCAGCATAAAAGTGCAAAATGACTAACGAATTAACAAAACATGGTATGTTGAAACTACTACTACTAGGGTCTGTAATGTTTTTTTAAATCTTTAATCATTTATGCGTATGAAAATTTATTACTTAACACAGGAAGTTATATTTAAAAGCGAATAATACATTAATTTTATTAAACATTACTTAAGAATAGCTAAATTTAATATTACACGAACTGAAACAATAAAGCAATTGCGTTACCACTGGTTTACTTTTTCTGTTTGCAATTTAGAAAGCTGGACTTTCATCAATGTGTCATCATAAAAAAAAACATCATCCGGGTGACCAGAGTATTAAATAAGTTTTTCTTTACGCAACAAATAACCACCAGTAACAATATTTCCCATGATTTTATGATTAGAAAATTAAAATGGAATTTGCCTTAATCATTCAACGTAATAAATTTTATTTAATGATTTTCCATACAACTTACATTTCCTTTACCTTAGATTATTTCAAATAACTCAAAGGCTAGTCAGCTGACCACATGATCTGTACACCCTGTCTGCTTGAGCGCTCTCTAGTGTTAACCATTATGAAATCAAAATACTATATGTTTAATCAAAATTGTCAAAGAGTAAATAACCTTACTTGAAATATGTTTCATCAAAATAAATACTCTATGAAAAGTATTCACTATAAATAGGAGGCAAGGCCTGGTATGTTAGTGCGCTGGACTCACAATCTGCGGCTCGAGTTCGAATCTCGTCACCAAACATATCAACTCATTAGGACATTATGTTCAATCAACCTCACTTTTCGTTGGTAAAAGAGTAGTCCAAGAGTTAACAGTGGGTGATTTTGACTAGTTACTTTGCGCAAAATAAAAAAACAACAACAAAATTGACTATAATTAAGAGTTTTTTATGGCACAAATAAATAAGTTAAATTAATTGCAATTGTAGCGATAAATGCAGCAGAAAGTAATATGTTTATATCCCTATTTTTATTATCGCATTTTTATTTATTTTTAAACTCGCATAAACAGTTCGTGATTTTAAAATATTCTGTAATGAAAAAAAGTATCGTATTGTTTGTTTATTACTCAGCGTAAAGCTGCACAATGGACTTTGTTCCCACCGTAACGATTGAACTCCGAACTTTAGCGTTATCAAGTTTATCGCTAAGTCACAAGGAGAGAGGGTTAAAAAGAAACCAAATATAAATTGTTGCTTTTGGAAATGGCATATGCATACACAATTTTAAAACAATCTTAATTTATGCCATGTCTTAATACACACATTTCATGTTTTATTGTTCTTTAGTGGTAGACAAAGATATGAAAAATTGCATAGTAGCCCTCCTGAAATCTGAGCTAAACATGGCCTAGTTATTAATGTGCCGAACTAGAGATCTGCGGTCCCTGCGTTTACGTTCTGTTGCCAAAGAAATAAAGTCGCGCTTCGCACTTAGGGACCTGTGTGCGTTATAAATGTGACTGTCAAATTCCATTATTCACTTAAATAAGAGTAGTCCAACAGTTGACCTTGGACGCATTCCACTAGATGCCCTCTAGTCTAACAGCTTAAAATCAGGGTCTCTTTTCTTTCAACGCAAAGTCACACACTAGGCTGTCTGCACTATTCCACCACGAGGAATTGAGCCCCGGCTTTTAACGTTGCAAGTCCATAAACTAACCGATGATCCACTGGAGGACTAAAAGCACAAACTGACACAATGAGCTATTTATGCTGTGCACACCAACGGGTGTCAAAACCCGATTTTTATCGCCATAAGCCCTCAGACACTGGAGGAGGGGAGGGGGCTAAAATCAGGAATAGCCCTTGAGTAGCTTTGTGCAATTGTCAGAAAACAAAAATAAGTGAATATATTACCTTCTTTCCACCGTGTTCTGTAAGTTTCCATTTATATCTACGTGTTTTCTTACTATACAATTGAAATTCAGGTACAACACTAGGTTAAGCAATAACAAAATAAAACTTATTTAGTTCATATTCTAGTGGTTTCAAATATTCATAAAGCATTCATTCAAATCTGTGTATGACTATTTTGTGATTTCTCTTGTAGTTGAATTACATTTTTATGCACAATAATCAAAATATTCATTCAACCGTAATTACATGATTTCTGAAACACAAGTATCACGAAAAACAGTGCTAAATACAGTTTTCGGCAAATAATGAAAGAAACTATTCTTACAATGCAACAGGACTCAAAAAGTGAACATTTACTCGTTCACAATATTTTTAAGTTTTCGTACTTCAGCACGTTCATACACGTGCTTAGACAACAACGCGTAGGTATCTAGCCTTGAACCGAATTGACGTTATTCTTGTGCTAGTCACACATTATCTGGATTCATTCCCTTGGTATTTCTAGAGCTTTACGTGGCTGATGCTGCTGTAGAATTTTTTTTGCTTGTTCTAATGTTTTGTTTTAGTCACATCAATGACAAGGGTGACAATACACTCTGCTAGAATGAGCCGTATACGTATTTGGGTATCATTCATTCTCAACAAATATGATTCTCTATCAGAATAATGATTGTCCTTTGTCCTGATAGCATGTCAGCAGGCAGCGCCCCCTCAAATATTAGCGGTTTGGTCACATATGTTGTTTTAATAAATACGCAGTGTTTTGTTTCGTGGTTAACATTGCTGTACACTTGAAGTTCAACTAAGACACACTCTATAAACACATCATGTTGGGCTTCTAGATAATAGATGTTGGGACTTGAATCCAATAATTTATGGTTCGCGTGTGTAGCTTTATGCTAATATCTGAAAATAAACATTAAGAACCTGTGCAACAAGACATAAAATATAAAGATATTTCATATTTTCATGACAGTCATTTCCTAATCAACAGCTACAGTGGAGGTAAAAAAATATTGCATCACTCATTTTTTCAAACTTCTCTTGGTTCTGTAATTTTTACGAGATTGTATATTGTGTAAGTGTCAGAACTAATGCAAAACAGTTATGGACATTGCGAGGTGTAAGCAAGCTTACATATTAGTCATCCAAACACATACATGCATTTTTATTAACAAACCAACCGTGACAAACATATTAAGCAGATGATCAACAAATACTTGGCAAATAGAAAATGTTTTTCGGAGTAAGAAAACTTAGATTTAAAGATAAGCTACTAATGAATATTGACAAAAAGTGGTTATAGAGTATTTTTCTTGTTTTGTTATTTGTATGTGCCCCCTCTCTTCTTGATAACTGCTTGACATTGCCGTGACATTGAGTGCACGTAGGACTGAATGTAAGCAGTGGTGAGTTCATGAACAACACGAACAAAATTATATAAGTATTAGGAAAAAAAATATCGCTAAATAAAATAGCTATGTAAGACTCGCTACTGAATTTGAAAAAAGTAACCAAACAAAATAGGGATGGAAGTGAACACATCACTTGATCCAACTAATGAACACGTAGCAGACTAGGCTGTGTCAACTTTACATGGAAAATAAAATCCCTACATTACTGGCTTCCCCACTTTGTCTATCGAAAGCTTGGTGTTTGAATAGAACCTCAGCTTTCATCATTATACCTTTCCTTTAGTTAACTTTAGGATACTACTTTTTATGACTATTTTACAATTGGAAATTCTGGTTCTGTTTGTTTTAGTAGTGAGAAAGCCAGTAATTAAGGATTTTATTATCCATGTAAAGTAGAGACTGCTTAACCTGCTATGGGATCGTTAGCCGTATCAAGTGATATGTCCTTTTCCATCCGTATCTTGTTTGGTTCTTTTTTTCCGGTTCAGTATCCAGCCCTATACAGGGTTTTTATTTAGAGATAAGTTTTTTCCCCTAATACTTGTTAGTTTACTTTTTTATAAGATGGCACACGTAGATTAATAGGTTATAGAGTGTATTCTGAAGCTTTATAAATTATTTAGAATAATAATAGAATAGGTAGTCAAAGATCGTGAAGACCGTTTTTCTTTATCAAATGATGATAAAATTATAGTTATTGCTTTAAATAGGTAGGTGCTAGGCCTATTGAAAAAAGATGATGATGAACGAAAATAGAAATCCCGGTTTTCGACTTTGGAAGGCTCTGGATAGTTAAAAATCGGCATATATACCAGAGATAGAGCGATTATG